ATTACCGTTGTGTTGCTCATTACCGTTGTGTTGCTCATTATCGATCATGATTGCATGAAAAGCTATTGTCTATGACACCCTCACTTCAGACTGATTCAGATGGATTCTTATTCTTTTCAGACGTGTTTTATTCACTCTCATAGCTATTAGATGAGAATACCGTTCTCTTGATGAATTTTTCTCATTCACTTTTTCTCATTTCACTTCACAGTTCGAATCGATTTCTTATTCTGTAGCGTATACTATTTACTGGAAGCATTGACGAGTGTTGACAACCGAAATCAACAATACAACAATCAAATAGAATTGCTCAGCAACGTTCGACAGTCAAATGATTAACTATAGAGTGCATTTGATAGAATGAGAATTTGACTTTAATTGTTGAATGAATTGAATGAGAAATTGGTAGAAGAGAACACTTTTGGTGATAAAAGCTATGAGAGCGATTGTAATAGCAAGGAAAAGAATGAAAACCTTGTTAGAACCTTACAAGCTAATGATAATCAGAAAATACAAAAATGTTGCCATCAACTAACCGCATTTACATAGCCGTGAACCATCATAATGGCATTATGATAGTTCACGGCTATGTAAATGATAAAAAACACATGATAAAGAACACCATCACAATGGCATTCTATCATAACATGACAACTGCACGAAGTATCAATTTTCCGACCCTCTCCGTGACCCTTTGACACCTTCAAATTACACAAAATGGATAGTTTTAGCCCTTATGAAAACCACTGGTGTAAGCCAAATCCTATGCGCTTTTGGGAAGTCAAAGATAATCTCAAGAAATTAACAGTTTTGATCTGCACTCGATTCATCCAGTCCAGTTTCATTCTAAATCATTCGGGATTTTGATGAGCATCAAACAGACTTGGAATCGGAAACCACTCGGTCGCATCCTTCTCGATTTCAAGTTGTAAAACAGGAAATATGGTTCTCTTTACGACCTCCCAGCACTTTCTTTCGATGTATGCATCGATTTGAGTGGATACTCTCTATCCAAGATCAGTTATCAACAGTAATCACCATGAACACCATGATTGCTACCGGAATCCCCATTCACTCATTCAGTAACTGAGGATTCAATCAGTAGCTGTAAATCGATCTTCCAGAGAAAAGTACGTGCCACGTGAAACTAAAAGTGGAAGTGACATTTATCCACCAAATTGCTATCGTACTTGCTTTAATGATTGAGCATAATATGACTTGTTATTGTTTAGTGGCCTTTAAATATCAAACGATCTCATCATTTAACGAGCATAATTACACCCCAACGACGAGCGTAATTGCACCCCATTGAAGTTGGTGTCAAATCTATAATTTAATCTTTAATTGGGCTTTAACCTATAATTCAGGGTAAATGCCAGTGAATCCAACAACGACCACAACCTGTACTATAAGAAGGATGTTTGATTTGCTTCAGCATTGCCATGCATGACGACATTATTTCGAGTACATAATAACAACGAAATACAATTCTTTCATCAGTTACATCCCAGAGCAATTGAGAATTATTTCATGAAAGAACAGGTGTGAATTTTAAAATTCATCTCAAACTGTTTACTGAAACTAGATTATCACTTCTCCCATAACATGCCTTTCTGATATCCTTTCGGGATATACCTTTCGACTGATTCACAATCAGCGTGCCTAGTTTTGGATATAACGTTCAGGAAAGTAAACAATTTCCATCTGCTGCGTTATCGTTGACAGGACGAACGTATTGAACAGGTGAGAGAAACTTTTTTGAACGCCTGTTCTTAATCAGTTGCCCATAATCATTTGAATGTGATCGTGATATCACCATATTTTATGAATGTTTGTAATCTTTTTTTTCCATTGATTAAGTACAAGTGAAATATTAATCATAGAATCGAGTTGAAATCGGAATATCAGTCCGATGAACAGTCCTTGGGATTTTGGGATTGGATAAAACGTGACATTTTGTATAATTTCAGCAGTGTACTCTTCTCGAATTCCAGTTCGTTCATATTCAGTGATATTCTTTGTTTATCATCCAAGGGGAATGAACGAAAGAATAATTGTAGCGCCGCATTGTATTTTGTTTTCAGGGAGAAAAAGTGTTCCCAAAGTGAAGAAAATCGCTTTGTGACCACGCTTGCTTCGTCTTTAGTCTTTTTAATGCTCCCTTGCGCTGTGTTTCGTTTGTGAACGTTTTCAAATCCTCGAATTATTCCGCGAATTATTCTTGGGATTGAAAAATTGTCGTCGGATTTTCACACGCACTAATGTCTACTGAAGTTTTTCAGCTGAAAATCCGTCAACGGTTCGAAATTTCTGGCGGATCACAATTCACATTCTGGATTCATTATTGCTGCTGTTAATCGACAAGAGGGGATAAAAACAGAAGACCGTTTTCATATGTTAACATCTGAAATCGGTCTTCTGTTTCCAACGTTATACGTTGTCGAAGGCTTCGTTATTATTGCCTTCAATTTGTCACTTCTGCTTTTCCTTCTATTGGAACGAAAATTTCGTCATCAAAAACAGTATCAAATATTAGCCGGATGTGTCACATTTGATTTTCTATTCGGCTGTGCCTATTTCAGCACTGGTGTTTACCGATACAATCTGAAATTCACCAATGAATGTTTGTGCTTTCAATTCGCTCATTTCTTGTTGTTTTTGTTAACGTTTTTTGTCACTCACTGATTCACTGTTCATTGGACTCTCTCATATCAAACCCACCTGAAGCNATGTCACCAATCTCAAGGAATCCGAACGAGCTGATCAATATTTGAGTGCTGCATCCTTGAGATGCAAACAGCATTATGAAGACGGTATTTCTGAGAGAAATTCGGTTAGTCTGACGCACATTGTCAGCAAAACAACGATCAACAAATATAAATAGAATACGGTTATATTAGTCCTACGAATTCAATGTTGTCAATGAAAATTCTTTGATAGTTATATTCGTCAAATCCGACTCTAAGGGGAAATTGTCGATTCATTCTTGAATAAATAACCGAACCCTTCATGATTTCCTTTTCAGATGTGCCGTTGGTATCACGATTCTATTGTTTGAATAAAGTTCATGATTTATTAATTCTATTCATCACTCCAGAAGCTGGCATCATCTCATTGTTTGTGGCGTTGGATCGCGCCGTATCGGTCTTCTATCCCATAAAGTAAGGAAAGCAGTCACCATTTGCCTTCAACTTCATAGCTCACTAGCTATGGAAGATTCCTTTTTCTCCATTGATTACCTTTTTATCCATTCACTACACACTTTTAGTGTTTTACGGCAGTAGTCTAGGAATTCTTCTGAGAAATGTGCTGCGAGTCTTGAAGTTCTGTCAATTACAATGGATCCAGAATATGAATAAGATTCTTCACCTGAAGAGCGAATATTGTTCTCATTCAGTTCTCACAAGTTTTGATCATTTGCAGGTACTTGAAACTACCACCGCATTACCCTCTTGTGTTGTTCGTAACATCGTTTTCGGCAATCATTCCCGCATATGTGACCAGTTATATGGCGGTGATTCCGTCGAGATATGAGCGCAATGTATGTGAAATCAAATTATCTGCATTGTTTTGAGATGAGTAAATGAATCCAAAATTGTTCTCTAAAGAATTCCGTAAATTCATAGGCATCAATCCGACTCTGAATTGCTTTTCAAATACGACAACTTATGAGGATGTTTTTGACATCTTCGAAGTATACATACTAGAACGAAGCTGTTTCCGTTGAGAATCGGAACAAAACATTGTTGATTGATATCGATCTCCGATCTGGGAATGAGTCAATGGACACTGATCGATTTTCGCCGGCCAACAATGGCCACAAGTCTGATCGACCGATCGATCAGACTTGATCACTAATGGCTGAATCGATCGGCGGTCACAAGTAGCTGAATTTACCAGTGGCCATCGGCTGAAACCGAAATAGGCCTTATCGATGACTGTCGAATGTCTTCGTCAAATTTGAAATGTCCCATCTGAGGTCAACAGAAAAAAATGCATTCATTTATGTTGATATCAGCAGTTCTTTGGGCTAAAACAATCTGTCACTGACTAAACGAATGCTTACAATTATTGCATTGTAATTTAAGGGAAACTCTATCGCAAGTTTAGGTTATGCGTTACAAACTTCATGTGGATGTGGTAGAAAGAATGTTGTCATATGTTCATTTGGGAATGAACAATATTTCAGCAGTCTGGAATGTGTTTCCTCAAAGATACGCTTCCGGATAATTGCTATGCAATATTACGTTGGATACGGATAGTGACAAGTATTTTGGCTATTGCAGTCTACATACCAATTGCATGCAAGATCAGAAAGGTACGTCTCTGAAGATACGTTCGATGAAACATTGTCCTACTATAGGCACACTTAATTAGGACTGTTTTTTCTTTATCTATCCAACTGAAGAACTTATGTAAGTCGTTTGAAAATTATGAGATTAATCAACAAATTTTCATAAACTGTTTTAATTTAATGAAAAGCATTTGAGAGTTGTTTTTAATAAGACAGCAAACTGAAAATGAGTAATTCATTTAAGAAAGTCGGCCTTCCGCATTGAAATATGCTGCTCTCGTTACATATTATTGCAGAAATACATCGCCATCAAAACTTTTGCTGCATGGTAATATATTCTGTATGAGTTGTTTGATTCGTCTTAGGTTGAATTAGTTGGGATAATCGCACGTTCACTTCGATTGAATAAAGCGTTTTCGTTTCAGCTGATCAAAAAATTCCAAAACTATCAATCAAGACTCTACCTTGAGGAAAACAAAATTCGTCAGATGACAGTGACGATCGGCTTAATTACACTCAATCAACTGATATTGTTCACTGTTCCGGATATATATTTGCTGCTTTCGGGCGCAAACAACGCTAAAATTATATACGTTTTGAATATGAACAAAGGTATCGTGAATATGTTAATAATGGTGATTACACAGAAAGAAATTCGTAATGAAATCCTTGGCAAGATCCCATTCTTTCGAACTGCTCAAAAAACTAGAGTGGTCACAATGACGCGTATGAGAACCGATCAAAGATGAAGCAAAAATTGTTTGTTCAGTATAAGTATGTTGTTTTCATGTATAAATCCTTAAAGTGTGTCATTCGTTGAGGTCTGTAAAAACGATATTCGTTAAATGTTTATTGTAGCGATTGAGAAATTTCGTTTCAATCTTTATTGGCAACAAATTACCTCGAACTTGCGCAATTAAACCTTATATAATAAACCGAAGCACGAACACGATCATAAATACAGACAGTAAATCAATGCAAAATAAGAAATTATCTCAAAGTGCTTGTTTACCCAAGTTTGAGGTAATTTTTGGGCATCCAGATTGAAACGAAATTTCATAATCTTCATTATCTCATAGTCAATCTAATATGGCATTAACAAAGCCAATGTGATGTGATTAATGATAATAAATTGCTATGAATGAGCACATACTATAACAGAACGGCACGAATGGAGCTCATACTCCACAGCAAGACCGCAGTAAAATTGCACTAACCTTTACAAGAGGATCTCATCAAAAAGACTGAATAATTTAACGTCATTTCCTGGCTTCAGAAATATAATCTGTAGAATACAAGATGAGCTCGTAGTGGGCATGAAACTAAAGGTAACATTGAATTGGGTTCAAATATCCGAATTCTGTTCGTGTCGTTCCCATACGAGATGATGAATATTGTATCAATATGGGTATCAATTAATTTATTTGAATATTGATGATCTATTCATGCTGGTATCATTCTCACGATCCGTTACATAATTCACGAATTCACTGATGTTAGTTCAGGGATTTTACTGATAATTTTGACGCATATCTGTTGCTGATAATATCATCAGCATGTCGAATTTTTACTAGGATATAGTTCTTTTCTGAACGATTCCATCTTTCACATATGGGACTCATCATGATTACTGTAATACCCATGATCAACAAAGGGTCTCAGAGAATGCTCTGACATATACACGTAGGGTTACCATAGGACAAGCGGGAAGGGTGTACTAGGTTCCTTGTGCATAAAAATCTCATTAACGAAACCGAACGTAATCAACATTTACGATTAATTAAATAATGAATAACTCATGAGGAAATTTCAAAGAATGCTTACTGATACACAATTGTATTTCCAGCTAAACACCTGTCCATTTACATCATAATCACTTGTTGATGGGTTCATCAATTACTCATACTTTACTCACAAAGAATGCTATGGACTGTGTTATGCTCACAAATAAATCTCGTTGTTTCCATTATGGATATCGCTTCTTCGAAAGTGAAATTGTTACTTGTAATTAATGCACTTGTACAATAAACCGAGTTTCAAGTTGTCACGGAGTTAAGGTGGATTCGAACACCGAACACATCGGAAAATAGTAACTTTTGGTATTCAATTCGTTCGAAGTGAATTGCTTGAATCATTATTGCAATCAATTTTCACTTTAAAAATGAGTGCTGACTACAGACGTCGTTTAGGTTATGTGCTGTTTAGGCGACATCACGGCTTAATCCAAACTTCTGGAGCAATATATCCGAATGAAGGAGTTTATTCGTCATTACTTTCATAGTTCACACGTTGTGCATAGAGGAGACAAATTTGAAAAATGCGACAACCAAGATGAAGAAAAACTTGTTTGGTTCAAAATACCCGTCAGCCAGCCCATTACAGAACAAATCCTGGAGGGTTTCATAGCCAATCCAATATGAATCTGTACGAATATCAGCTTATTGTTGCTACAAGAACATATTTTCACAGTATCGGATGAAGCC